ATCCCAGTTCATTCCCATTCGCAGGATACCAATGCTCGTGGAGCAGACAGCCACTTCCTTGGAGCTCTGACCGTCCTCACAATCTATTTTTAAGACCTGCCAATGTCTTAAAGAGGATGGTGCTAAGGTGGTACCCTCTGACGGCGAATACCCCTGATATGAGAGTTGTTGGAAAAGGTGCGGGGGAGGCCGATACTTTGGGATCAACTTTGGTGCGTTCCTAGATGTCATGCTGGTCATGGCTAGGAAGTAGGGCAGTCCCGGGGCGAACATGTTCTTGACGTCGGCCTCCATGCATGGGCTCGTCAAAAACTTTGCTACAAACGGCCTATAAGGTTCGTAGTTTGTGATGGGAATGAATTCTCGGAAGCAGCGTAGGAAGTCAATATCATCCTTGGAGTCGCTCTGCGCGATGGCCTCGCGGAATCCCGCCAATTCGGGAGCACTCTGCGCAAATTGAGACCCAAAGTTCGGCCGTATGATCTCCAGCAGGACTTTATCTACATGATCCTTGACCCGCTGAGAGAGTTCAGCAGACAAAGAGTCCAAGAGATTCGGTTGACGATGAGACATTGTTGTCGTCACCCTGCGATCTTGTTCAACAAAGTCAATTGTAGTGTTGCGGGAAAAACAATTTGCAAGCAGTTCCGATGGCAGACCTAGCAGAACCTGGAGGAACTCTGTCCCGCCGACGTGGCATTGAAATGGCAGAATGAGTGAAAATATTTCAAATATACTAGAAGTAGTGTTGTTGACAATACTACGCCATTTCCCCGGCACCCTGATACCACTCTGATCCAGCAATTGCTGGCAAACCAGGAGGGTTCTGCAGCAAAACATGGCGCATCAGGCAGTAGCACTTAGTAGCAGTCTGGTTGCTGGGACTTGCCAAGTTTGCATACTCGAGCACTGTGATCAATGGCCCTTGTGTATTCAAGTTGCGATCGATTCCAACTTCAATTTGGGAAACGCATAAACTCTCACGTGTTGTTTGCTGAACAGCCTGAACTGTGTAACCTCCCTCTGTCATCATAGTAACGGTCTGCCAATCTGGGACATACCAGTGACAAAAGGCATCCCGATGGTCGACCACCGGTCCGGAATCAGGGTGCTACCACACGCCGTAGATCCATAGGATCTGGACATCACTACAATACACCAGTTCTATATAAGTAGTCATTTATATGAGGAATGAATAGATTCGCACCCGACTCTTTTGCAGCTCCTTTATGACACTCCAATAATCATTCCTTAATCGTTGGGTCGAATACGACGACGCGAACCTTCACCTGACCTTCCGAGACGTCTTGGATTGTATTGCCAAACAACAAGACAGTTATCGCGCTATTCAGTATTATACTTTCATACGAGTTAGGAGATGTTGGTATTGACTTCGCCATCTGACGAGGCAGATTGACAAAGGCCGAATTCTAGTCAACTCTGAATCACCTTCCTCGCAAACCTGAAACATGTGGGGGAGGGTGCTGAAGAGACAGGTTCATAGAGTCTGCATACATAAAGAAAACAAGCCACAAAGTGTCCGAGATGGATGATTGCCATATTTATATAAGTCATTATCAATGCTACGTCAATGATACGTAGCAAATTGGTATTGACTCGGGAGTCGGTACAGCATGATAATCCGGCCTTAATTGCAATGCTCTGATAGATCGTATTAGACGCTGCAAAATCCGCAGTACTCTGCCCCGTGTCTTCCTGACTACCACACCTGCGAGCTGCGCATCGCCCACCTTTCTCAAGCTAATGACACTATAACTGGCCTTCATGCGCACGTCTGACACTCAACACACTTCTCTATATACTACGTTTGGAGGCCGACTATCATTTACCTGGCCCGTAATTCCACCGCGACTTACATTGAGCACTCTTAGCAGAGCTTGATCTACCATGAGTCTGGACCAAAATCTCTTCACGCTCCATCTGACACCAAATACCTCTGACCCGAGTGGACTTGTGACAGACCTCACAGATCCTTCGGGAAACGTACACTACCGCAAGCGACGTATACCCGGACAAGTCTATAAAATCGAGGTGTATGGTGTGTACGTTGCCAATTGGGTTCAATCGTCAACTGATTAAGCTGTGGCAGACCCCATTTCAGAATCCTTGCTCGCCTCTGCTACTTCTCCGAGCGTGACGAGTAAACATAAAACGATAGAGCTATACAACCCCTCTAAGGTCATCGAGCTGAAATATACCGGCACCCTGACTTTCCGATGGTTCTTCAAATGGGAGGAGTGAGTCCTTGAACACAGCAGCTATCATGCAAACTCAGTTACACTATGGCAGACACGAATTTGAGTGGAAACGAGAGGAGTGTTTCATGATCAGAAAGCCCGACCCTCCTGTTATGGTTGCGGTGACCAAGGAACCTCCGGGTAGAATAAAGACAGCATCCGTTCAAATTCTAGATTACAATCTCAATAGGTGAGTTAAAGATCGAACATAGTCCCCGCGACGTGACTGATAAGTGTAAACAGGTTTGATATAGATGATCGAAAAGGGCTAGAAATCGTCATCCTGACTGCACTGCTCACCTTCCAAGACGTCAGCGATTCGTACCACGAGTCACCCAACGAAAGCAACACAACGTCACTACCTGCTGCAACTACTTCAGCTCTAAAAAGCTTTACAGAGAAGACTGCGCGAAAGGTGTCAGGCGGACCTACATGTTCTCCACCAGTCGTACCGCCAAAACCCAAGCCAAAAATAGGTGTCGAAAGGGTTGCCGAAATCCAGGCATCAAGAGGCCAAGTGAATGAAGTCACAATCATTGACGAGTGTTCCCCCAAGGATTATGCGCAATATTGTGCACGGATGCTGCGTGTGCGTTGGTCGTGCTCGTGATAACAGGGACAGAATAACGAGTTGGATTTTAGGACGAAGCGATGCTGTTTATATCCATACGCTCTTCAGATGGACTCCAGGCTCCCAAAGTGCTGCAAGTAGTTGAGGAGACGAAACGCATCCGGCACAAAGCAGGTGAGTTTCTAGGCTTATGGCCGCTCCATTTTCTCAAGCCATTTAGGTGATCAAGATCTATATCAATATGTTCTGTATGATACGGTCCAGATACCACGCAAGGGTCCGAAAACGATTAATCTGGACGATAATAAAGACAAAGCAAAGGGCAAGGATTATACCCCGCCGAGCAACATCGTAGTCCATCTGAGCAAAATCGATATGCCCGAGTTACGGCCAAGGAGCACTGTTCCCATCCACCCTGGAGAAGGACGATCGGGTGCATCAAAAGAGCGAACAAAGGATGGGAAGAGCAAAGACACCCGCAAGGACAAAGAAAAGAAAGTAAAAGAATCAAGCGACAAGGAACGGAATGAAAGGAAGAAGCGCGAGACAGAGCACGCCACTGCAGAGAGGGCAAAGCTCCGATCAAAATCTAGCGCGCCCGCACTCGCTTCTCCTCATTTCTCTTCACATCCGGCATCGACATCCCAGCGGCCTCACGTACATCCGCACCAAACGCATCTACACAAATCGTCGCCGTCGCAGCTCGGCCGCCCTGCCAACCATTCGGCTCCTCCACTGCCTCCCCGCATGCCAATGCACCGTGTGGCTCCGCCACCTAACCGGTACTCAACATACGGGACATACCCGGTGTCATACCACGTCCGGTATTCATCCAGCCCTCAACGCCTTGAACCCCCCGTTTCTCCACCATCGCCTTCACCTTCCCCAGCCACGCTGTTGGCTAGATTACTCGGGAGATGAACAAGTCGACCCTATCATTTTGTTGGACCCTTGCGCTCGATTACTGGTACAATCGGACGATAAATTGCAGCTCAGAATCTAACTTATAGAGGGTACGTACAGCTTTTCCAATCACGATTTCAAATCCACTGTATGGACGTTTTTAAACTTCGCTTGATACCTCACAGCCTCTCCCCGTATCCCACAATACGTATGCTGTATGTAACTTATACCACTGATACACCGCCGCCGACAATAGCAAACAAATACCACATTCAGTCTCCCGGTGGGACTAACGTCATGTTTCGCTTCCGCCCACCGCCTTCAGACTCAGTAAAGTGCCCGCGACACCCATGCCACCATTAATTGCTGAGAACACTAGCAGTCCGGATCATCATTGACACGCTACGTTCGACAGCTAGTCATTGAAGAGGTCCGACCGGTGGTAAACGTTTGGTACCTAGATCGCCAAGCGCATGTCAATAATGCTCACAGTCATTTTGATAGAGGTGTTTTAGATCAAACTCTGCTCTTATGCTACCCTGTCATGCTAGGTTGTGCTCATCGCTGACACGGGCATGCCTAGGCACAGCTGCTTTATTAGGCTTTATTGTGCCAGGGCGTACCGCCATCGGTTACGTCGATGACATCGATGGGGGCGCGTTATGTGTAGTGGGCGCATTCAGGGCACGCTAGTGTTGACTCTTCATGGCGTCGCTCTTCATGGCGACCCGCTGTCGGACATGCGGAATCTGGTCCCTGGCCGACCAACAAACCAACGGAGGAAAGTGGTGTGATTTAGACGCGCTCAGATTAGACTTTCCGAGGAGATGGTTATGAGCGTGGTAATGCTCCATGCATATACAGTACCGGTGTTACGTTCCGAAAGTGTGGACTTTTCACGCTGTCCTGACGTGAATCAGCGCTGCGGAGTCTCAGTTTCTGAGTTTAACACAGGTATTGTATCCCCGAATTGGTTCCGTGGTGGAACAATCGTGTCTTGACAACGATGTCGTACGTTGTTGATAATATCCGAAACATTTCATTTGTTGTAGACTTTGGCGTCGGTGACGGCAGCGATCAATGTTACCGTCTTCTCGTGGCTCAGGGCAATCGAGATGAGATTCCAAGCGTCGGTGGTGTTTCATGTTGAGTGATGTGCTAGTACTGATCTGACCATCACAACAGCAGCGTTGTCTCGCTTGGCATTGGAACGTGGTCCGAGCACAATCTATGAACTGATGGGCCCATGGCCCAGGCATGCAAGTGAATCAGATCTCAAACCAAGATAAATTACTCTTCAAGAGCCGTGAATCGACAACTGAAGTGTCAGGGCACAAACGATAGTATCAGAAAGCGAAGATATCGTGTGTGTATGGCTGATCGCTCGAGTGCATGTAATGACTAGAGTACAAGTGTTGAATAATGAACATGAAAGAAGTAACTGTTCAAGTGCGGTATACTAAAAGGCTGTGGGTATTCATAGATAATAAGTGATGGTGTAGATATACGCACGAAGACTGACGCATCCTATGTGCCTGCACCGCAAGATATAATATCGGAATAAGGTTTTTTCTAGGATATGCGCAGCCTGAGGTGTCATTTAGCATATGGGAGAGCCCTATGAGACACCGCCGATCTCGACGAAGCTCCGCCAATTCCATGATAGATCATCGTCTTTCAGATCGATGAAGCTTTTCAGAGGAAACCATGTGTCGACAGTGCTTCTTCTCTGTCGCTTCGGGGGATACGAGACTGAGACTGAACGAGGGAAAGTGGCTTGTTTTGGGGAAAGATGTTTGGGAGATGGGATGACCGCATCTCCCTCATCTTCGATATCTGCAAACGAGCCGAAATCCTCGACTTGAATGAAGGGAGTATTTCCCAGTGACGAAAGCACTTTAGCCTCATCATCTTCATCATCGCTCATGCTCATGAAATTTTTTCGTAGACTCGACCTCGGGATGCGGTTAGCAGCACGAGAGCGGCCCTCGAGACATGCCAGAGCATCCATGCGACTTCTTCGTTTCTGATGCGAAGCGATGGATGAGGAACGTGTGGATGACCCTTTCCCTGATGGGCTAATGGGTGATAACAGGGGTGTTGAAAAAGACGTGTTGGTCGCAGACCGAAATGGCTTTGACGGAGGGGAGAAGTTCGGGGCGCGATCAAGGGATGTTGGAGGTTCGGGTAAGGTAGATGATACCGGAGCAGGTTTAGGAGAAGGAATTTGCCTCAAAGATTCACGAGACGATCGGTGGAGCGCACATGCTGAAGGTAATGGTGGAAGACGTTCAAAGGCGGGTCTTTCGATTCGTCTTTAGACGTAAAAGGTGAGTACAAAAAGAAAATGAGGACAAAGGCTAAACTTACGACAAGTCATGAGGTGAGGTTATATCGGTTGTACAAGTCCAACTAGTGGACTTTGAGACATTTGACGGCTTGCGCCTGTGACCTGCAATCGAGCGATTGGAGTCTGCCAGGTCGAGGGAGAGGAATGACCGAAATTCAACGGTATCCCTTTGACCCATTTGCAAAGTGAAATAAAATGCCGAGGCATGATCATCAGCAGCAGCAGTTTGTGCCTTGTAGGATGTGCCCTTCGAGTTTGATGGGACGACCGGAAGGTTGGCGCTGTGTGCAGACGAGAGACCCGCCCGTCGTTCCGCTAGAAGACCTGAAGTGAAAAGTGGCGAATAGGAAGAGTGCATCAGAGAAAAAAAGGATAAGAAATCAAAGTGTGCACGAAGACGAAAGCACAAGGGCAATGAAACAAGAGCTCTGAAACGACCGCTCTTTATATAATGAAATGAAAATGAAAAGCAATGCGTCGTCACGAGCGATCGGATAGACGCTTCCCCTTCCTTTGTCACATGTTCACAATTGGAAGTACTGCCGGCACACGTTGCCGATGCAGGGTCAGCCGAAATTATTTTCACACGGTTTGCCATTACGTGCTTCGAGCTTGTACGTTACAAGGAGCTACACCACATTGTATTCTCTTCATGTTGGAGAAACTTTTAACAGAGTCGTTGAGAATTGTTGAGCGAGCCATGGCATCACGGAAAGGTGTAGAACACCGCCCGCATTTTGCTTCCGCGGGGCCAATAAGGGGACAAAAAAAGAAAGTCACCCCTGTAGACATGGGACACGTCTATATATCCTCCACGTTTTCGATGCCAAGCGGACAACAATGAAATGAATTTGAGTAGTCAAAGGCTCGCTAATCGCGACTGACATAATTCCTCGACTTGGTTTTCAAATTTTTGGGACAAACAGTTTGTGGGAAACGGTTGAAGAGTGTTGTGGTACACGATAGGCAGCCGCGGCGCTATGTATACACTCCATATGGACTCATGATAGTGCGCCGGGCCTGTATCAGATACTAGAATCCAAAATTGTCAAGTTCATTATTACACTGGCAGCATGTTCTGCCTGAATTGAATCACCCTGCATGCAGTCGTTATGGGGATCTGTTCGAGGCAGCTCCGATAACCTAGTATCTTACACGTGCAGGTTCATACATATCCAAGTATGTGATTTCATTATCACATAGCGGCGCCTAGCCCTGCCCTGCCCAGCCTCCCCTATGATAGCGGTCTGCGCAGCTGACATTAATTACGATTGCGTTTTCAAACACTCAATTGTAAATACTTGATAGCCACTAGCTCGTCGCCCGGCGGGTCACGGTACTCATTGTTCCACAAGTCTCCCACGCAGGCAGGCTTCGGAATGGTATCTAATTTGCACTTCCTGTATCCGCCTTCCTTGCAACCACACTTTCCAAATTCATTTCAACAAGTACATTGGGTAGCATGCGACAAACCGACCCGACAACTTCGCGAAGACTCATCCACATCTTAAATTTTGCCACGTCTCTTGATCAGTCAGAGTCACTCTTGTTGCAAATTATTTGCAAAGTGCGGCGTGCGACACTACTTTTACGCAAGTTCGAATCTGCCACTTTTATTCATTCGGCGTGTCATGGATGACAGCCTTGAGCAACGCTTCGCGAGCGTTCGTGTCTTTTGAAAATGATTGGCGATTTTCACCTACGGTGACCTACCCTTGGCACTTGCGCGCGAATCATGTAACCTCAGGAACAAATGAGCGCTGCGTGAACTGCCACGGAAGAAGTCGCCGCACCCGGTACACTACGTGGGAGGCGACATAGCAAGTCCTTCTCTTTTTTTGTTCGGCTTGGATCTCGCCCTCCCGTCTTTCGGAGATCTCTTCCTTGCGTCGGCTTTGTCGACTACCGATTTAGACTGTGGGTTTTGAACATTCTCTAATGCTTATGGCTGTTCCACCAGAATGACTCAGCTATCCTTCTGGCCAGCAAGACTATGTTATAATAACGATATCGTCGGAAATTTGTCGTTTCGTTTTCGTCGATCCAAAAACCTATCGCACACTACACGTGGGTTTAACTGTTTATGACAACTTGGATCAATCTTCTTCCAGCAGTCTATCCCTCGATTCACCGTTATCTCGGACGGTAAATTCAATCACGGTGGCTTGGCGATAACTTGCACATATGAATTACAGCATTCGGACATTGAGTTGCGACCCGAACGGAGAGTGAGATGAGGACCCTCCATGTCATACCCGACTATGCCGACAAATCGGCCGTCATGTCATGTATGTGTACCGGCGACTTGAGACTGGCTCCAACGCCAACTCCATTCAGTCCCAGTCCCCGCCTGACACGCGCATGTACCGTGTGAGTGCACTGCACACCAAGTTATTTTCAACATCAAGTCGAACTATGTACTTTGAGAGCTCCCTGCATCGCCCGAAATATCAATTTCACTCGCGTCATACCATGTCGGGAATCCGCGCGCTGTGATTTACGCACGCCTGCGCTCCTTCACTGGAGCCATCGTCCCCTCCTACACAGTAACCAGGCGATGACCGAATTTCACCTCAGGCTTATCATACTCCATGCTCTTCGTCACTGTGGTGTTCTGTTGTCTTGGTCACCGTGGCGCTCCAAGACGATGTCGAATTGTGAGTAAGTACTAATAACCGTCGTCGATGAACGTTTGAACATTTTATCAATGTCGCCTATAGTTTCCGATGCTGTATCAGCAAAAGTCAATGCAAATTTAACGGTTCACAAGTGTTCAGATAAGAGTGCCACGATCAAAGTTGCGGAACATCTTGATAGCATCTTGCCTATATCGTCCGTGGGCTGTACAGATGTCACAGCCGCTCACACCCCGCCGGGACTGTTGGTCGATCGAAAGTGCGTTATGAGGAAACTGTGAAATTATAAATAAGTGTGGTGCTCCAGGCTGCTCCAGAGGGGCCAGGGTGCTCTTTAACATGCGGGTTTAAGCAATGCCGAAGCCGAGATACTTGTGTATGCATTATTCTGTCGAATACTAGTTTCGTGAACCAGTCGCCTTGTCTGAGAAGGGAATGTGTGACAAGGCGACTGGTTCAGGAGACTAATCAAATACAGTTTTTGAAGCAAGAGTTCGAGCGAGCTCATCTTGGGTTCATACTCTTCGGTTTTTGTTTTTCAGGTGACGCGCTAATTCGGACTTGTGAGGAGAGTGGAGTGGTATTGGTCGTAATACAATCGTGATCTATTGTATGCCGAAAAAATAGTGGAGTGTACTAGGTAAGATAGCAAAAGGGAATAAACCAGGTAAACTAAAAACTATATACTTCCAGGGGTAAATATCTATTGTGAGTCCGCATGTCATAGTAAATTAGACGAGTAAAATAAAGAAGGGCATATTACCAGTGCAGAAAAGTGCGCAGTCTACTTGCCACCAGTGGTGCCTAGACCCATCGATGCCTTGAAGGTGTCGTAAATCCACCATTGGAAGCCTTGATAAACGAGGTTGGTTAGTGATTTCAAAATATTGTAAAATTCACGTACCAGTGAGAGTACCGATCATCAATACGCGGGTACCGAGACCCTTGGTTGCAAGTGTGACTAGGCCAGTTTCCGATGCGATAGTACCAATACTTTTGCCCTTGTTGGTAGGCTTGCCCATGAGGGAGACTACGGTGTCAGCTGGGTGGGAGACAACAGCGCAGACAACACCAGCGAGATAACCAGAAGCAAAAGTGATACCGAGCTGAGTGGTCTTCGAATACGTCTCTTTGGGCTCAGTGAAGACAGTGAGTGTAGAAGAGCTGGACGATCTTCTCATAGCAGCAGAACTTGGCCATGGTGTAGGGGATCTATTACGTCATGAGTAAAATGCAATCGGAACCAAAACGACGCAACTAACTTGACGAGACCATAGAGGAACAAGGGAGCCGAAGGGGGTAGCGGGTCTCAACCTTTGTCCTGCTCATCTCTGCAAGGGCAGCACCGAATGCAGTGGGAAATGTGCCAGTAGGGCTAGTTTGGATCTTGACCTTGGTCATCTCGAGAGGGCAGAGAGCGATATCAGCAAAGACCTCTGCCGATGCGGAACCAACGAGCCAGATAGCGGGCTTGTATTTGTTAGTGAGCTCTTCGCCAGCCAAGTTCATGTACTGGTCCTTGAACACTTCATAGAGACCGAACTTGAACATGCCTTGCAACGAGTAACCGACAAGGGTAGGACCGAAGCCTTTCCAGATACCAGCCTGACCTTCCTCACGAATGATCGTGGCAAGACCAGATATGGCGCCCTTGTATTTCGTAGGGTTGACCTGTTCACAAAAGCTATGAGACATGACGCAGCCAGGAAGAGCTAGATAAACTGACCTGCATGTTACACTTGGCCACATCAAGAGGTGTGAGGGCGGCGTGAGTGATACCGCATGCAAGAGCACCACCGAGCATGCACTTCGCATAGTATGTAGCGTCATGAGGTATGGGACCAATGTATCTTCAAACCAGACGAGGTCAAACCCAACCTCGACATAACGCGGAAATAAGATAAGAAAAATACCTTGCGTCCCATTTAGCAGTTGGTGCCAGATGCGACATCGTTTATTATATTTAAAAGTCTCTAGATGAGATGTCTATGATTGAAGGAACCCGTCCCAACAGGCGCGGGCTTCGGAGGTCGAAGCAAGAGAAACAGGTGTGCAAACTGCCACAGTGCCAGTGTCGGCCCAAAATTCATCAGGTTAAATTTAGCCGCAGTGAAGCCGGCTTTGCATCGGCTTTATTAGTAGTATCGTATTTGTGATGAAGAATCGCTAGCACTTGATTTCTAAGACTTCTCGCTAATTATAATTCGTCGGTCTCTTCTCCCCTTGCTCAACATGAGCGTTACAGAAAACTAGCGCTAAGCTTACGAACCGACAGCTTGCTCACATCCACGCCATTTGTTGACAGCACAGCAAATGTCAAATCGCGGGAAGTAAATTAACATATGTACCAAGGTGAATATTCCCTCTTATTATCCGATCACACAGCTGAACAGAGTATTTCACAGGTTTCTTTACTACAATGCCCACTGCCACGGTTCAAGACTCTGCCCCAGAGCACCACAGACTAGCTAAAACGAATGGAGCCCGCAATGGCTCCATTGGTCCTGCTTGGATACCTTCTCAAGTAGAAGGCGTCACACTGAGGAGGACCACTGAATTCTCCTTTGACTCAGTAGAGGAGGCGCTTAGCGCATTCGCTCGTGGTGTACCTGTTGTTGTTATGGACGACGAACGAAGAGAGAACGAGGGTGATATAATTATTTCTGCGAGTCAATGTTCCGTGGAAGCCATGGCATGGATAATCAAGCATACGAGGTATGAGTCATTTGCACCCATACATTCCGTCTTCATGTCTATTTTAGCGGGTATATCTGTATCTCTCTTCCCGAGGAGCGTCTCAATGAACTCGAAATTCCCATGATGGTGCCCGAAAACCAGGAGCGACACAAAACTGCATACACCATAACTGTAGACTACAAGCATGGTCTGTTTTTAACTATGTGAAGCCTATGCCACGACTAAAAAATTCTTCTAGGCACAACAACAGGCATTTCCGCTCATGATCGATCTCTCACCGTGCGGAAGTTGGTCGATCCCACTTCGACTGCGTCCGATTTTAGTCGGCCAGGGCATATGGTACCCTTACGAGCACAGAACCGTGGGGTTCTAGAACGCAGGGGTCATACGGAAACGGGTGTCGATTTATGTGCCCTCACCAATCAACCTCTAGGGGGAGTGTTATGCGAGCTTGTGAATGATGATGCGTTAGGCACCATGGCGCGGCGCGATGATTGCCGATCGTTTGCCGATCGATGGGGCCTGAAAATGATCAGCGTGGATATGTTGGTGCAGTACAGAATAGCGATCGAGAGCGGGGAGTACTGCGATACCATGACGGATGAAAAGAATACGTACCGATTAGTGTATACTTATAGAGCATTGTACACCGATGTGGCAACCAGACTCTAGACATCCCCTGAGTCAGGGATTCCATGGAAAAGCTGAGGGAACCTATTCAGGATCCTGAGATCGCCGTCTCCAAGATAAGAACACTATCTTTGACTATGATATCAAGATCGTAGCGACGGCTCGCCGTCAGTCCCCACCGGTCAATTATTTCGTTTGATTGCAAAGGCTTGTAGAAAACGTTCCACGATCTGTGCAAACATCGAGAGCGTGTTGACGAAGGTCTTTGGTGAAAAAGGCTCTGAGTACAAGAAACGCGCTGCGGAAGAGCAACTGCGGCGGTGTGGTGCTTATTGGTAGGTTATGAAATACCATATGTTACAAGGTTTTAACTACAAGTCAAATCGTATGGGCGTGTTAAAGAAGTATGCAGAAGCTGGTATACAAAACTAAAGCCTGCTAGTAGTACTGTGGATTGATACAGAACGCAACAAAAAGAATACTTGACTAAACAGTCACAAACTAAGTACATCACGACCCTGGCAGATGCTTAGATCAATAACAAGCAGTCAACTAAATGGTATCTGGCGTCCTACTGGTGCTCCTGCCAGTCTTGCGTAGCAAACACTGCTTGATTTATTTCCGACGTTTGAATGGGCTATTAGAGGTGTCCGATTCGAGTGCACTGTTACTATTGACCGGAAACTGATCCGAAGTTCGCTTTCTGGATGTGCCAACACTGGTATTGGGCCTCGGAGAGGGGAAGGGTGGTACAAGCTTCTGTTGTTGAGTGCCGGGAATCGGGACCGATGGCTGACAACCGTTTATTAGGCTGTGGGTTGAAGGTTCAAACTGAGGATGAGAGATAATTAAAAGAGGTTTCACGGAATGAAAAATAGTCAGACCTGAAGCAAAGCAATATCCTGTGCAAGTTTCTGCCCCTCGGATAAAATATCAAGACAAGACCGCAGTCCCTTCAAACACCACTGCCGTTCGAGCCAGGAAAGGAGGTAACGATTCCAGAAAACCTGGAATATATGGTTGAGAGTGTCGTCCCATGGATTTGGAGCACGCGACAGGCGAACAACCCAGTTTTGAGATGCATACTTGAGAGCGTTGGAAGAAGACCGACTTCGTTCCTGCGCCTCATTCGCAAAAGCTATAAGGAGATTCATAGCACGGATAATCTCCCTATCAGGAACTTCTGGCGATGCGGAGGTGAAATGATCTTGGGGTATCAAGGCCAGGAACATCGGAAACATCAAGAAATCTGGTAAGCTTTTGAGCCGCTGGACTACTTTGAAGGTTGGCAGTAAAGCCAATTGTGGGACAATGATGTAGTTGCTGATTGCTTCCAACGTACTCGAGAATTCTTCCATAGTCGCCCGTACCGATCCCGCAGGAGTGGATTGCCACGCTTGGCCATGGGGCGTCTGAAGCCAGTATTGCCCGCCCAGGGTCTGAAGCTAGTATTGCCCGCCCGGGGTCTGAAGCCGGTTTCGCCCACCCAGTGTCTGAAGCCAGTCTGACCCGCCCGCCGGGGTCTGGAGCCAGTCTAGCCCTCTCTGGGTCTGGAGCCAGTCTCGTCCTCCCTGGGTCTGGAGCCACCTTCGTCCTCCCCCGGTCTGCAACCAGTCTTGTCATCCCCCGGTCTGCAACCAGTCTCGACCTCTCCAGGTTTGCAGCCATTCTCGTCCTTCCTCGGTCTGCGGCCAGTCTCGTCCTCCCTCAGTCTGCAGCCAGTCCCGTCCTCCCTCGGTCTGTAGCCAGTCCCGTCCTCCTTCAGTCTGCAGCCACCAGTCTCGTCCTCTCCAAGTCTGCAACCACTCTCGTCCTCCCTCGGTCTGCAGCCAGTCTCGTCCTCTCCATGTCTGCAGCCAGTCTCGTCCTCCCTCGGTCTGCAGCCAGTCTCGTCCTCCCTCAGTCTGCAACCAGTCTCGTCCTCCCTCTGTCTGCAGCCACCAATCTCGTCCTCCCCAGGTCCGCAGCCATTCTCGTCCTGTCTGGGTCTGCAGCCAGTCTCGTCCTGCTTCGGTCTGCAGCCAGTCTCGTCCTGCTTCGGTCTGCAGCCACCTGTATCGTCTTCTCCAGGTCTGCAGCCACTCTCGTCCTGCCTCGGTCTGCAGATACCAATTTCGTCCTCGCTCGGTCTGCAGCCAGTCTCGTCCTGCCTCGGTCTGCAACCAGTCTCGTCCTTCCTCGGTCTGCAGCCAATCTCGTCCTTCCTCGGTCTGCAGCCACTCACGTCCTGCCTCGGTTTGCAGCCACTCTCGTCCTGCCTCGGTCTGTACCCTTTCACGTTCTCCCCAGGTATGCACCCACTGTCGTCCTGTTTGGGTCTGCAGCCACTCTCGTCCTCGCTCGGTCTGCAACCACCTTCGTCCTCCCCCGGTCTGCAACCAGTCTCGTCCACCCTCGGTCTGCAACCAGTCTTGACTTCTTAAGGTCTGCAGCCACCAGTCTCGTCCTGGCTCGGTCTGCAGCCACTCTCGTCCTTCCTCGGTCTGCAGCCACTCTCGTCCTCCCTCGGCCTGCAGCCAGTCCCGTCCTCTCCATGTCTGCAGCCAGTCTCGTCCACCCTCGGTCTGTAGCCAGTCTCGTCCTTCCTCAGTCAGCAGCCAGTCTCGACCTCCCTCGGTCAGCAGCCACTCTCGTCCTTCCTCGGTCAGCAGCCACTCTCGCCCTTCATCGGTCAGCAGCCAGTCTTGACCTCCCTCCGTCTGCAGCCAGTAATTTCGACCTCCCTCCGTCTGCAGCCAGTCTCGTCCTCCCTCGGTCTGCAGCTAGTCTCGACCTCCCTCGGTCCGCAGCCAGTCTCGACCTCCCTCAGTCTGCAGCCAGTGATTTCGTTCTCCCTCGGTTTGTAGCCAGTCTCGTCCTCCATCGGTCTGCAGCCAGTCTCGTCCTCCCTCTGCCTGCAGCCAGTTTTGTCCTCCCTCGGTCTGCAGCCAGCCTCGTCCTCCATCGGTCTGCAGCCAGTCTCGTCCTGTCTCAGTCTGCAGCCACTCTCGCCCATCCGTGGTCTGCACCCAGGCACGCCCGTCCACGGTCTCCAGCCAATATTGTAAATCTAAAGCACGATCTCCCCGAAGCCATAGCATACAGATGAGAACCGACAGTGGCTCTGGTGGCCGAACAAGGAAGGATAGCGAAAATTTTAATCGATGGGGGTCCTCAGGTTGCATAGCTTGGCTCTGTTTCATCAGTTCTGAGAGCACATCCAAGAGGGCCGTGCTTTCCGTAACCTCCGTCATCAAGCGGAGAGACGAATGTGCGAGTAGAGAGTGGGGTGATGTGATATCGCATACTTGAGGGAGGCCGCAGTTTGAGGGGTCAGAAACGTAGTCGCGAACGGATGAGTGATAGATATTCACGGGGAGAGTGCTGTCTGTAGGGATATCCATGACAGACCGTAGCTGTATCAACGTTGTCTGCACATCCCTGCCCAAACCAGGGCCAGGGAGTGACGAGATTTGCGAGATGGGAAGAGGGTCTGCGAGGGCGGCGACGATGGACAGGTGCATGTAAGCCCGCTTGGCGTCGGCACACGTGGAGAGGATACAATCGTATAACTTAAACACCTCCGTTCCTGGTAGCAGCTCGCTCGTTAGCTTAGGCATCAGCTGTAACCTATCGCGGGGATCATCGTCTTCATCGTCGACAATGAACTTCATCATTGTAGACGCCACGATAAAACGTCTGCCCGCTCGAATCGCCAGCTTCGCAAGATCATCCTTCGATGGCTGAGGGAAATCAGTATGGCGACCTGCCAGCTCTGCGAAGGAATGCTGGAAGAAAATATAGATGTCTTTGTCAACATCGGCGCCGTCGAGCGAGATGGTGGTAGCAATACCCTCCCCAGAAGTTTTCACGGGTATTTCGCACAACAACGGCTGCACCTCCTTGTTCTGAAAGGCTTTGCAGATATGTGATTCCGAGCGACTCGTGAGTGAAATGTGTGTCACAGGTAGATCAGGCTCACGAAGAGCCTGTGCAAGGGAAAGGATAAGATCGATAAGCTCGGGTTCGGATGTGCATTCATCAAGGGCATCGACAACAAACGTCAGAGGAGGACACCCGCGCAATCTGAGTTGAAGATTTCGGAGAAGTTTGAGGAAGAGAGCCTCCATCTGGTCGCAGAGAGACTTGTCCGGGTCCAGTAGAGCAGGATCGTCACGGATAGCTCTGTTCACATCCTTCCGGATACTGGGAAAATTGGTGGCAAGCTGATAGACAAGAGTCACGAAAAAATACCCAGTCGTGCAACGTTTCGTGTGCTTGCGCGAGAAAAAGAATGTTCCCCCGAGCCGCCTTTCGACATTAGTCTGCTCTTTCACTTTTAGACCTCTCATCCTCTCAGCTACAGTGAACGCAACGGCAGACTTTCCGACGCCTGCCGTGCCATGCAACCAAATAAGTCGATTCTTCTCTGGGTCGTCTAGTACTTCGTATATATAGGTGAGGAGATCCACCCGGGTCCCTTCCAAACATTTCGGGTGGGGCTGACGTTCTCGGGAGTTGTATGCAGCACCGTTAACAGCAACCTGGGACAGCCTTGCCCATGTTCCTTCAAACGATGGAAGAACTGTCAAAAAGGTCAGAAAGCGAGGGATGGACAAGAGTGAGAAAAACCGACATCTTTCCTCACTCATTCACGAAGATTGTGATATGCGTGATGAAATGGAAAATTGAGAGCACTAATCGAGTGCGGTTAGAAATCATCTAGGTGAAATTTATCTCCAGGGACGACGTACGAAGATTTAAAGGATCTGTTGGAGTCAAAGTAAGTTGTCAACTTAGGTTCCCAAAGCGCAATGGAGATGGGATGGGATAAGTGGATGTTTCAATCTATGGAAAGCTTGCAGGAGGTCACGAGGTTGCTGTGCATGCTGTACTAAATGATACGTCTCCAGATGTGTTGAAGTAGAAATACTAGGAGAGATATTCTTGTTCCAGGATCTAGAATTCTAGGTACTGGTTTAGCAAATTTAATTGTCCGTCCCACGAAAGCTGAAGCTTGATTCATCTGACGGTCTGGTCTTAGTCATCTTGCTAGTTTCTCCTTTTTTCTCCTCTGCCCCAGGCGTGATTGTAAAGTTTAAACTCGAGATCGTCTTTGCTCAACAATGCCAAATATTCCTATGTAAAGCAGTCAGCAAATATATGCGACGCTCTACAATACATTGCTTTATAAATAACTTTCTCATCTGTTCACCGGTTCACTGATGCGAATTCCGTTTCGACTCCCACGTCAGATTCTTACCAGCAATATAATATTCGTCTCTACTCGTTTCTTGTGTCCGGCTGACGGTTCCCAGAGTCATATTCAGCACCCTTTCACAGCAACCTAGACTCTAGCCTTTCCCAAGTTCCTCCAGACTGTAGACATACATGCGAACGGCCTTCCGGTCAACACTATACATTCAGTCGTAGAGTCTCATTGGCTTTATATGTCATTTCTGGTGTCCGGCCGACGGTTCCCAAAGTCGTATTCAGCACCCTTTCACAGCAACCTAAACTCCAGCTTCTCCCAAGGATATACACGGGAACGGCCTTCCGGTCAACGCTATCCATCCAGTCCTGTTCGTGTAGAATCTCATTGGCTTTAGCCCAACACCTTTTGGTATGCCACCAAGATCGCCCTGAGTTTAGTACGGGTAGTATCTTGATTCTTCTTACATTTGACCGGCCTATCCCACATTCCCTATTTACCTGCGCCGTAATATCAGTTGTCAGTCACCGGTACCCACCTCCGTGTCTTTCTTGACGTACGATGAGCAAACCAAATAGGATCAGCATTTAATGTGGCCACAAGAGACGAATGCATGTCCGAAAGAACCACGCTAGACTGATGGGGGAAAGCGCTGGAACACAGTACAATGCATGTATGATGACATCTCAAAGTGAGCACGTGAAAACAAGATGCTATCCTGTCCCAGACGTCGAATGTGGCACTCTTGACAGCTCAAGGCATGACTTGCAAGGGTCCGCTGTTACCAGCACAGAAAGTGGTTGTCGTGGCAGAAACATCGCGGTGATGCATTAGTGGCTAATACAAGGGATCATGGTATGAGGGTATTTCCTAGCAAGTGGTCCGTTATCAAGATTAAGCACGCGTGGACGGGTGCAATAACTCTTGCGCAAAAATGACGAAAAGATTGCGAGAGATCTGAGGAAGCAATGAGCAAAAAAGCGATAGCGTTAACTACAGGTGGACATTGCTTACGTAATTGGACCGTGATGATCAACCCTCCTGATTGTCAGAAGAGGGAAATCATTTCAGGCACATCAGCATACGAACCTGACAGAACCTTCCTTCGATCGTGGAGTCGCGGACACGTGCAACAACTTATACATATAAGTATCCGATGCCAAGCTTAAATCATGACGGTGTTAACACAACAGTCAACTAGTAAATCAAGGTGGAAAAAGGATGCCTGCAGGCTGTGGGTTTATCAATTTCTATAACTCACTACTACTAGTACTAACGCTGTGCGCCTCAGCCTCATGGCAGTGCTGCCAAGTACTCTGGTTGCATGCTTGACGCGCTAATGTCACGGATCAATCTTTTTGAACTCCGGGGTATATGACTAGGTCTTTGTGTCGCGCTTAGGACTTCAGCCAGCAGTCGCGTTCTGAACTTCTGTCACTAACTTCAAATTTGTCAAGGCATTTGCAGTGCACCTTTAGCACGTTCAAGTTGGCGTCCAGCCCAGCATCGATACGGGTAGCCATTCTATGGGCCTCAGCTACTGGGACAACCTCGCTACTCGTGAGAGCTGCTCTGCGATGTCATGTGTACAGCCGTTCTTACAGTCCCACAGAGTGTCCGTGCTCTTAAATATACCATTCTGTGATTCTAGGCCATTCCCACCTTGCAGCTCTTCCCCATGATCAGTATTCTTTGTATCATAATCCGGGCCTTCTCCTAGTATTCCTTTGCTCAGCTCCTCTCATGACGCCTCTGTTATTGGCCATCAGTTTTGTTGTTTTACTCTCCACCATATCGGAGGTGGTTGGAACACCTCAGGGGCATACATCATCTGCCGGACAATTCATACCTTTGACACGGAGGACCCAGCCTTCACGGAATGTCTCAGAGTGGGCGGAGTATGCGAAGAACCTGCGGGACGCCACAATTGCGAAGTACTCTTCACAACTTAGTCAAAAGCGGGGAACGGGCGAGAACTTGTATGCTGAACTATCTAACCCGAGTGCACTGAAACCCGACACTAATCTTTGATGAAAAGGATGGTCAACCAGGGGTTGGACACAAAGTCTGTCGTGTATTCCACCTCTGTCCAAGCGTGCTCAATTCCTGCAGCTTTTACGGATCCCTGGATGTGGGTACACCACCTTACCCATTTGATGTGATTTTAGACACTGGATCCTCGTGCGTCGTCGACTTACGCGGCAACAGACCTATCTAACATTCTCCCCAGAGATATGTGGATTGCCTCGTCCGCATGCCAATCTACGTGTGAAGGAACGGGCAATTTTGACTCGGCAAAGTCCTCTACGTTTCAAAATATGAATAAGAGCTTTAGTGTAACCTACGAGAAAGGTTACGCAGCAGGTACCATTGGGCAAGATGTTGTTCAATTCGCTGGTTTCACGATCTCCGACCAAACATTCGGTAAATTTAACTATCTATTGTCATACAATTTGATTGTCCAATACTGACGCGTAACAGGGGTGGTGACAACTACCGCGACGAACTTCTTGCAAAATCCTGTCACCGGGATCTTGGGTCTCGCATGGCAGTCGCTCGCAGCCTCTGGTGCCATGCCATTTTGGCAGGCGCTTGCAAGTAATGGCCAATGGAGCCAACCCTTGATGGCTTTCCAGTTGACTCGGTAATCATATCCTTGTCATGTTCATTTACCCCAGGGACATTTACGGTGAATGATCTAGTTTTTTAAATGACAGTCAAGCTGGCAAACTAGAACCTGGGGGATCTTTTACAATGGGTGCGAGAGCAACTCATGACATTCCTGGCGTGTCTTACCTTCGTTTCCAGGATATACAAACGAGAGTTTATACACCGGAACGATTGACTATCAGGATCTTCCCGATGGACAAGCCTCGTACTGGCTTCAAACAAATTACTTGTGAGCTTCACTGCAATCTTACTTTGTTCGTGTCGCTCAAGCACCTTGAAAGCGATGACTGTGCAAGGAAAACCCATATCTTTGCCAGATGGCAGTGCGTCTTATGCTGTCATTGATACCGGTACGACACTCGTGGCAGGGCCTGCGGCTGAGATCGCAGCCATTTACGCCCAGATCCCTGGATCTCAGCCTGGGACGGGCAGCTGGGAGGGATTCTACAGTTACCGTAAGTACAACATATTTCTTTGGATTAAGGGGACCGAAACTCTATGAAAAGCCTGTGACACTGCTGTTGTGGTGGAGATCTCGTTTGGAGGGCCCAATTGGTCAGTGAGCTCCGGTGACTTCGCGTTCGCATCTACAGGCACCTCGAATGAATGCTATGGGGCATTTTATGCAATACCTACATCTGGTGAAACCCCTTCCTGGATCATGGGCGACACGTTCTTGGTATGTTCTCTTAGCGCGCATATCCATTTCTGATAATTAATGCCACGAGATAGAAAAACGTTTATTCAGTTTTCCGATACGATCCCCCGTCTGTCGGATTCGCGGCACTGTCTGAAATCGCACTCGCGATGAACGGCAAAGTTGGAGGAATACCTTCCGCTACTCTCGGTGCCAACTCGGCAATGTTTACTTTAGAGCCAAGCGCGGCGCCCCCAACACGCACTTCTAGCGCAGTTGCATTTGTCATTTCCGCTTTCTTCGCCACCTTGGTGTCATTTATACAAGCATAATGCTGCGGTTGTAGACTACTTACTAGTGCATTTACAGCCCCATCTACGCACAGCCTTCTTGGACTAATATGCAGGGGACGCTGTGCTTAGATCGTGTTCTCTGCTAGTTATTTTTATTGGATATTATTATATGATGTAATTGTACTACGGGCACGCATTGATTACCACTAGCACATAATGATTTATTGTAGCTGTTCGCCAGACAGGCTCGTGTGTTTCCACCGACTGTCGGGGCTGTCGCCACTTTCACAGCCTTTGAGAATGTCTGACCCGATTCGTACGGTGTACGTAATAACTTTCTTAAAATATAGGTACGCGGCCGTTAGCAATGTGGGAAGCTGTAGGTAGCTGCGGATGCGCAGCGCTGAGTGTACCACCAACATGTATTTCAGGGCAATTGGCTGGGTGGTATCCTACACATTCGTTCTCATTCTCCACTGGCTTGTGGTATCCCGGCTTGAACCTTCTCTGGTAACTTAACACTTAAAGCTGAGGCCTGAGTCTTAGCATGATACCATTAATTTTTCTTGCATCCCTCCTGGCGCTACCTGTGGATACCTTTGGAGCACCGACGGACGTAATCCCCGTTTCTGGTCAGACCATCCCCTTGTAAGAAGGAACCAATCTCCTCGAGATGTCAGCGAATGGGCTGCTTTGGCGAAGAGTCAGAGGGACAATTTGCTAGCAAAGTATGGCAGCTCGAAAGCACAGAAAAGAAGCACTGGTTACAATCTGTGCGTAGTATTGTAGCGGGAAATGCGTTTACTGAGTGCAACTTTTCTTCAGGATCGTCGACCAGGAGTATGATTCTAGGTAGGCGTTAGATATGTTCTCCAGTGTCCATGGCGCCCTAATTGAAGCATTCCCACAGCTACTATGGTTCATTGGCTATTGGTACACCTGCGGTATCCTTCGATGTCATATTAGACACGGGGTCTTCGTAAGCTCCAGTGCAGTTGACGTGTTGACATAATTTAGTAATGCATTATCGCAGTGATCTCTGGGTCGCTAGTTCTTCTTGTGGAACTTCATGCGGGACAGTTGCTACATACAACCCATCATCTTCATCAACTTTCGAGAATCTCACTACACCATTCGAGATAACATACGGCTCGGGTGCTGCAGCTGGCTATGTTGCACAGGACACAGTGCAAATGGCGGGATTCTCCGTTTCCAGTCAAGGTTTTGGTCAGAATCTCCTCTTACTGATAGGCTCGCTGGCGTTTACTTACGTGCATTACAGCTGTTGTGGACGAAGTGTCAACAAATATGCTAACATCACCGGTTTCTGGCTTGCTTGGTTTGGCATGGCAACCCTTGGCAAGTTCGGGTCAGATGCCGTTATGGCAGACTTTGGCCTCCAGTAATTCTGGGACTCAGCTCTCTTTGCTGTTCAGCTCACTCGGTGACAAGATTTGCTCTCTGAAACGAAGTGTATCACTGACATGGAACAGGTATACAAATGATTCCAGCGCCCAGGTTCTTGAGCCCGGAGGAGTCCTTAATATGGGTATGAAACGTTTCAGACCATGAAACATCTGCTCAAACAAAACTGCTCTTAGGTTACACAAACAGTAGTTTGTACACCGGCTCAATTGATTACATCGATATTCCCGGAACTCCCTCATATTGGTATATACCATTGACTAGTAAGTGTTTTACCAACTCGATAAAAAATCGCTCATTTATTCCAATCCAGGCGTAACTGTGCAGGGCAATTCCGTCTCTATTACTTCAGGAACAACTGCTGCTATCGACACTGGCACGACCAATATAGCCGGTCCGGCCAGCTCAGTTGAAGCCATCTATGCACAGATTTCCGGCTCACAACCAGCCACGGGTGAATGGGAAGGATATTATAGCTACCGTAAGCAAACCTCTTGAGCATCGCGAGGTCCAGTGGCTCAACGCTCAAACAGCATGCTCGACGACCGTAAACGTAGAATTCTCGTTCGGTGGTGCCACGTGGTCGATGAGCCCAGCAGATTTTGCCTTCACACAAACCAGTTCAACGGAATGCATTGGCGCATTCTTTGAAGCAACTACTGGTACTGGCTCCCCCACTTGGATCATCGGCGATGCTTTCCTGGTATGTGGCAATGATAAACGGGCTTTGAGTTCGTACTGAGCTTTTTTCCCTTGTTCCATTAGAAAAATGTGTATTCTGTCTTCCGCTACAACCCCGCTTCGATTGGCTTCGCCAGTCTCTCAAGTGTGGCAATCGCTGAAAATGGCGCTGGAGGCGCCGTCCCTTCCGCGACCATTGGTGTGGTGTCTGCAGCAGTCACCAACACAAGCGATGCCCCACGTAGACATGCACTGAGCGCATCATTGTCTACTCTTCTTTTCCTAGCTTTCTCCGCAGTGCTCCTCCTTTAATCTTGATGCCATCTGCATTCGCCTTCCTAATGAAGGACTTATCTTTATTGGACTAACGAACGCTCACAAATTTGGATCACACTCACTTGTAATTCATGTATCCGTATGATTTGATGGATAGTTGTTACTGGCTAGTTCTTTATGAGTTGTAGGTAGTAACCTGTTATGGACGGTGACTACATTAATCTATATACTGCAATCAATACCACGTCATTGCACATTAGTTTCATCAGAAGTCGTCAATAATATTATGCAAGGTAGGAGAGCGGCGGTGCCAGTGGGTGCGCACGAACAGAACAACCTGGACTTTCAAAGAATCCATACAGCTCCAAGACCTCTACGGTCCTGATGTCCCTCATTTTGTGAACAGAAGCTAGGCTCGTGACCGGCCTGGCGTGTACTACCACGGATGCTCGAGTGCATGGCATCTCAAAAAACGCGCGTAGGCAGAATGGTTACGAATCTTAAGTTGAATAAACAGAAGCCACGTCTTTGACGTGTGCAATGACGACGCGATCCTCTTGTATTTTCCGATGCGTTGCTAGGATAGAAAAATGCTCCAAAAGGCCGTCCAATGTGAAGTCAGGCAGCTCGAGGAGCATGCACGGACAAGCAAGAATGTCTGCCGAACGGGCTTTGCCAGCGCAGTGTCTAGTCCGTGGCGACCCAAAGCCCATCTGCCTTGATTCCACACGTGAAATAAATGTTCGAGTCCTGGGCCGGGCTAATACGCCTCCGTTTAACTTCCGTGACACTATGACGGAAATTGGAATGCCGCAGTTTGGAGTTCACAACTTCACCTACTTTCAATTTTATAGTGATACAAATATCGCGAATGTCCAAGCGCTCTCCAAGGAGCTCAAGACCGGAAATTTTGTTTCCCCATTCTTCTAGCATGCGAACAACCAGTGATGCCAGCAACCAGATAATAATCTTGAAGAGCCTGGTTCAATTAACTCTATTTTTTTTCACACAGCAGTGCGCCTAGATGGAGGATCGAATTAGATTCTGTATGCTCACTAGTGTTGTTGGCAAAACTACCGAGTTTTGCCAACCGGTTCGGCAAAACTGGTTGTGCCCGGTCCTCGGCAGAACTCACGCGAAAGGGGGGTGGCAAAACTTGGTAGAACTCCAGGATATCCAAGACTCGTGGAGATGTAATTTAGCTCTCTGATAATATAGTTTGAATTCAAGAGAACACGCAAAACGACGTCCCTAAAGTAAGATGGTGCATGCTGGAGGGCGCCCCCTCATATCACTGATCAACGATAATTTCGAGTGCCTGGAACGAGTTGACAACAGCTCCCATTGTTACTACTGTAAATGCAAACATTGCGGCGACACTGACAACTTATCAAGAGCGCACATTCTGTGATCTCGGCACAACACGATCTGGATTCTGCACAGCGGTGTAATCTCTTAGTTGACACATTTGAAACACTCGGCAAAATTCATGCAAACCTTCGCACTCACATGCACATTCGTGAAGAGATTGTTGAGACTCCACAGGATCTTAAAGCATCCTTCGCATGGGCACCTCCGCTCTCGACTGAGCCTCGCAATGCAGATGACCTTCTCACTGATCTAGAGAGTATACTCAGTGAAGAAGTTCAGAGCATTATTGAAGTGCTCGTGGGAAATTTTGATTTCGACCGTCGAGTTGGATCAGGTCGAACAACCACAGACTGTTCTAGATGAGATTGAGGTGGTTAATTACAATTGCGAGGGTGACAGCTGGGACGAGGCAACATTGATATTGATGTCATCATATGTAGGAATGTCATACATACAGTCTACATAACCTAGCTAAGCGCCTAGAGTTTTGCCAAGTTTTGCCGGTTTTGCCGGTTATAACCGGCAAAACTAAAGCCAAGTAGTTTTGCCCCCCACACTAATGCTCACCGCGCTGGCATGAATGCTGAGTTTGAACTTAGAGATCAAATTTTTGATGAGTAGCAGATATACGTGTCACTGGATGAGCATAAAAATGGCGAACAACAGAAAAACAAACAGACCCGCGCTTTAGCTTGACACCAGTCATACACTCGCACTTTTTGACGGTAAGAGTCAACTCACCGACCGTAGATCCAACTTATGACACCGATGGTCTAGATGAACTTCTTCACAGCCATTCTCCTGGCATTAACAATTATCAGTCCTCTTGGCGTGCAAGCCACGTCTGACTCAGAGAGTATCAGATTATGCAATTGGGCTCCATGCGGGTACTTGTGCGGGGGAGTCACCCAGTACACCGAAAGTTGCACCGACTCGAACGGCAACCCTAACACCCAGCGCTGTTGTGAGAATGTGTAGTGGTGTGGGGGAAGCATTGTGATACAAGCGAGGGGTCTGGAGGTATCGGCGATAAAACGCTTTATCAGAACACGTCCTGGGAGCCAAGTAGATTGCGTCCTTCCGCCCGAGGTATCAGGGTCTGAAAGAACAAGTTATTCCATGATACAGGCAATGGCCGAGAATCAAATATACAGTCAGAACAACAGCAGGTTATGCATAAAGGTAGGAGAGGTTCGACCAACCAGCCATCTCATAGCGCTGGAACTTACTGTGATATTGGTGTCGAGACTCGAAGGCTACCTGAAAATACCGAGGTTCAGAGTCACAGCTGGGGCCTCACCCACCTACTCCAATACATTTTCACTCATTTCTAGCTTGCCCTCCTCTTCAGCTTTTCCCGTGGTGAGTTAGGCTTGCGTGAATTGTTTGCAAACTCACTTATGCACCAATTTGAATGGTTCAAAGGCCGAGGTGTGTCAAAAAAATCTCGTTGATCGTTTGCGGGTTGACTGCACAGGGTAAATTTACATTCTCTCAGTACTGGAGGTGACACCCTTACCTGTGTAATATTGTCCAGGAATATCACTTGGTTCACCAATAACAGTGGCATTCGCAACTGTGAGTGGAAACAGTAATTAACATAGAAGCGCAAGGCGGAATGAATACCGTGACGACAAGGCGACATAGCGACCCGCTGTTTGCCGACCTCTGGTATGGGTCGACAGGACAAGTTGCAGATGTAGTGTCCCAGTAATGTAAGCGCATCTGCAGTGTTTATACATATCACCCCGATGACGGCTAAGGAGGAGTTCGGAATCCTCGTCTATCAATATGAAGTTGTAAGTTAGTTACCGGAGCAGGCAAATATTTCCTAAGCACCATGTAAATGTGAAGCAGAATTCGAAGTGATTACAATCCAGTTGTAAGGCATAGTGACTGTCACTATAAAGTATGATGCACAAGGTGTGGTATATGATACAGGACGGTGGAAACAGATACTTACTGTACAAATTTATTACCATATGAAGTGTCTTGATTGTTCGTGATATACCTTCAGTCATCGAATTCATCCACGCCGAACCCGCTTAAGTCCATTGCCATCACGGCATCCGTCTCATCAAAATCCATCGCATCGCTCGCATCCGTGGGTGGCAGCTCTAGAGCGTTGGCCCCGCCGTGCATCCTCATCCAAAAACGCCAAGCACGTCTCTATGCACCCTCTCCATCGCAGCGGAACTGCTCCACCCACGTCTACACCAGCGATGTGACGCTCCCATGTGAATCGCTCGGCAGCGTGCCTCACGAAGAATCGGCCCTTGTGCTCCGGGTTTGCACACCCGCCCGAGCCCTGCGATGGCCTCCGGCCATGCTTTCGAGGTTTGGGAGGGATACTATTGGACTTGAAAACACCGGGCACGTTCTCCGTCAATACCTCGCGTACATTTTCTGGCACGTTCCAAACGTCGGAAAGAGGGACCCCATAATATTCGCTGAGCACAGTCCGAGAGTTGTCGTCTTTCAGTGAGCAGAGTAACTTTCGATAACAGATCTCAATCAGTGGAGGTACGCCCGGAAGAAACGTCGTCAAGGGAGATACTGTGATCGCTCTCGATGAATTCGCCGCCGACTCCCTGTATTGTGAGAATATGCGAGTCATGGACCGCCGCTGAGACAGGATGTCGCGAGAGGCGGAGGGGACGCGAGCAAAGGACGGCTCGGCTAAGAAGGGATTTGGGTTGAGCTGTAACTTCAAGAGTTTCATGTCTCGCATCTCTGATGGAATGTAGGACAGGCGGTTCAGCGAGATATTCAGCTCCCTCAAGTTGATCAAATGACATATCTCCGGGGGGATATATGTCAACTGGTTCCCGCCTATAACTTGGTAAATATATAATAATGGGAAACACGAAAGAAACGCACGCAGACTCAACACAGTCAGATTTTCTAACTTGAAAAGCTCAGGAGGAAGATCGTGAATGTTGTTTCCAAAGAGGTAGAGTTGAAGCATATGTCGTTCCTTGCCCGAGTCTATAATGGACTTTGTCCGCTCGAATGAACGCACTCGGGACTCGAAAGCTGGCTCGGTCTTGACGCGTGACAAACTGCGTCCGGAGAATAGACTTTGCTCAGATAATTCCGTCGTATTGAAAAAACCCGCGAGATCGGCGACCGACGCAGGAATAGTTTTCAATGATAGATTACTGTATGCAAGATAAGACGCGTCAGAAGAGTGAGTTCTATGAAGCTGGGAAATACGGCACCTCAGGTCTATGTGCCCGTTACCTGTATCGAAGGGTTTACGCAACGCGTCGTCCCATAATCGCTCATCGCGATCAACGTAACGCGACGTGCTCGAGTCTAGAGAGAAGAGACTTGACGTTTCGTCGTGCAAGTAGTCTTTTTCTCCCAGCGAGCGAGAATAGACTGAGCTGCGGGACAATGGCGTTGGAGTAAGTGCGGGAGGTGTACTCGGGGGAGTATCTGCCTTCTTTTCCCGCTGTGGAGGGCGTTTGTTGGCTTTTGCCGATGCCGCGAACGGATGAGAGAAACCTAGACGCGTCTGGGGTGGGGAGTCTAGTATATACGGCTCATGCTGTGGACTCGAGGGCGGAGATGAGTCCAAGGGTGCTAACAACGGCGACGATGCCGGGGATGAATCTCGAGATGACGATGAATTCGATTCAAAATCCATGTCATAGTCTGTCATTTTCAGGTTCGGTTGATGTGGGGAAATAGATGGTCGTGTGCAAGTTGTGTGTCACTGTCAAAGCTTGTTGATTGCGTTTACCTTTTATAGGCACGCGTTTTAGGTCGTACGTAAATCTAATGCTCTGCCCAGTCGGAACGTAAACAGAACAACTACATTCTCATTGCATTTTCCATGTGCACGTATGTATGTGTTATTGTCAACGCGGACTCTGCATTTGA